AAAAAAGTACCATGTCTTAATCACTCCTACACCACATGTACATAATTCTTCAGATAAAAAATACCACAGCCAGTGTAGAGCAAAAAAAAAAAAAAAAACAAAATCATGCAATTTAAAGTTTTAAAAAATACTTCTTTAAACTTTTTGTAGCAGACACATTTTTGCAGACATGTACACAAATTAGAAAATAAGACAATCTTAATCATGTGAAATTTGTTTTGTTTTTTCAAGAATTTATTATTAGGCAAGTTTTTACGTAAAAGCTATGCTTTATAGATGTTTCATTTTTTTACATTTTTTACAAACTACTATCTTTCTGTTAGGTGTATTTCTCATTTATACATCCATCTATATCTCCACCAGTTAGTTATGGAGGTCATTTGGGTTCCTTTTCGATTTAGAATTTGTGACATGTTCATCTTTCAATACTGCAAGTTGCATTACAAAATATAAGGTAATAAAGTGACCACCTGAGAACTGACATTTTGATAAATATCAGCTCTTGTCGGTCCAAACGATTCAATGAATGAAATTTTACCAATGGAATTATATGAATTTTTTTAGTAGTTTCAGATTGGTGCACATTTCTACAGACTTCTCAAATGAGATTGTGTGTTTTTTTTATAGCAAAGCCACATTGAGCTATCTGCTGCATCCACCAGGGGGGAATTGAACCCCTGATTTTAGCATTGTAAATCCCAAGACTTACCACTGTCTAACCGGAGGACCTCAAATGAGAGGGGGGGATTCCCACTCAAGTCTATAGTTCTCAGCTGGTCATCACACCATACAATTTGTTGTCTAAACAGTCTAATATTTTATTATGTTGGTTTTCACATATCCATACAATATGTGTAAATGGCAACAAGCAAACAGTGAAAACATCACTAATAATGAACACATCAACTTATACCTATTCCTGATGAATGGTTCACATTTATTAAATACAGAAATTCTAATATTTTAACTGTTTTTAAGATTTCACTACAAATTATATCCATGGTGAAGAAACTTCTGTTTACCTGAATTTCAACCCTCATGCTAATATAAATGAATAAACAAACATACAAAGTATTAAATGTATTTGTGGCTTTAAAACTGAAACACTTCTATTCCTTACTCTATTTAGACCAGATGTGTAACACTCTTCTTATAAACTTAGTTTTTATATAAACTAAAATAAAGATATGCTGTCCTTTAAAATATTATGCTTCTTCTGGCACTCTACTATGACAAATAATCACATAAAAAATCTCTACAAATCTAATTGTAATATAGAAATGCTACCTCCACATTAAATTCAAGTTTGTCAAGACACTTAAAATATTTGGTAATGTATAATTAAGTATTGAAAACTTCATACAGAGAATTAAACTGTATATGAATGATCAGGCTGGTTATACCATGAATATTTTCCATCTTTTTACAATTTCACAAAATTTAATTTTTGATCCAAATGCAATTTTTCTTTTTTTTGCCATATGCTTTAAAGACCCCATGAATTCACAATACACACAAAATCTTTATACATATAAAACTTGTTTTAAGAACATATTCTTTAGCCAGTTGTTTTTGTTTTTTAGTATAAAACAAGCTTTGGCTTGTAGCTTTATTTTTCTACACATTTCTTTACAAACAACTTATCTTGTTGTTAGGTACATTTATTATTTAGATACCCACCTTTAAGTTTTGTTATTACAAATGAATTATGATCCAACTATTTACTCAATGAATTAAATGAATACTTTCTAGAATCTTTTCACAGCTACAGTCACATTTTCAATCAGGGTTTGATTGCTATCATTAGACTGTAGATTAAACCAAGATAGAACTTGCAACTGGTAAATATTTAACTTATAATTTAGTGATCTGTTTAATCTGCATCATTACTTTTTTCAGATTACACTGTTACATAATGTGTTTGATCAATACTTAAGAAATTAGATGACTTACAATGAACTTGGAAACATGAGAATTTTTTTAAATACTTTAAAAATTAAAAACAAATTTGTTCAACAATAAAAATAGTTCTGAACATCACAATATTCTGTTATAAATTTATTTCACAAATTTTCACTACATGCACAGTACTGTACATATAGTGTAGACTAGTTAGAAAGACTTGGTTACAAAGTTTAATGTTAATAATTATACCTATAATGCAGCACTTCAAAACGTAAAGAGAAAAAAATCATTTAATGCTACAACTAATGCAAACTAGATAACACACACACACACACAACTACCAAAACATTCTCTACTAATCCTTGTGTAAAATACTAGCAAGAAAATCTTAATCATCCAGTGAAAGTATCTAGTATTTCTACATTGCATTAGTACTTTTTGATAACTAGTAATCTAAGTACTTTGTCATAAACCAAATGCTCCTAATTACTACAAACTATAGATAAGTCAAAACCATATATTTTCAGGTAAGAATGTTCTGCATTCAACAATTTTTTCATACAGTTATACTAATAATTATAAACATGTAATTTAAAATTCTATTCAGTGGTACAATAAAAAACATTTACAGAAGGAGTGAAAGAAGATAAATTTTAACTGTACAGGTATTGTGGTGAAGTAATATTAACTTAACACCTTATAATAAAAACTTGTAAATATTGAACGTGCTATTACTTTGTGAGCACAAAGTTTATTATCTTATGTACACTTACAGATATGTCAATGTGATAAAAAATTTATTATTCGCTTATCTCAAACCTTTTAGTATCAAGCTAAAAAGATAAAAGCTTAATCTTCTGTTTGTAAGATTATTCAATCTGTGTTATAGATCTTTGCCTCTTTTTGACACCTCTTGGAACTAGGGAGAAAGACATGCTATTTTTTTTTTTCTCGAGTACATTTTAATATTTTCATCCTATTAACTCAATTTGTTTTCAGCATTTTCATGCTAAACTCAAATAGTAGAATTGTTACAGGTTCCTGTAATTTTAGTAAAAAAAATCTAATCTTTTCACTCAATTGCACCTTGAAATTTTGAGGCACTACCTTTTCAATGAATTATATTT